GGAAACTCTAAATTTCCTTTCTCGTATGTGAAAGTATGGTAGCTACTCTTTCTGTCCCAATGCAAGAAAGTTGATACAGAAAAGAATGAATGGGAAAATTAGAGAAAAATAATGTGGATAAGCTGTGTTTTCTCTATGCTACTAAGGTTGGAGTTGAAGTCAATTATGAGGTAATATTTTATGAACTAATATCGATATATACTACAAATTTTGGTATCTTTCAATCTTAGTTAAATCCGAATAGAAACATACAAGTACATCACATTTGGATTAAGTTAACTAAAGACTTCACCACCCAAAAAAAAAAGGCCATATTCAAATCAAATTCTTACAAATAATCCAAGTAACTTTCATAGCATTAGATTTCTCTCTTTGGCCAACATCCCAGATTGGTATGGGAAAGAATTAATAACTGTACCATGACATTACGAAACTCAATGTAATTTGTTACCGTCAACTTATTTGATCCATCTCGTTGAAAGCAACGTGAAGAACAAATTTAGCCTTTATATAGACCTAAAAGGAAGGGTAATTGATCTAAGGAACATATCATATTCTTGAGGTTTTCCAATGTGGACAAAAATTGAAGAACAACAAGTTGAGTCACTCTCTTCCATGGGGAAAAAGCTGCATGTCAAAAACTTCATTTGGTCAAAGGAGGAATGGCCTGGAATTAATCACAATGACTTTGCAAAAGAGGAGGACATTCCTGTCATAAGTCTGTAGGGAATCCTAGAAGGGAAGCCAGAGGACATGGATTGTTATGACAAGGTGTGTTGTGCCATGGTGGATGCTGGTGCTGAATGGGGGTTCTTCAGGCTGGAGGATCATGGGGTTACTATAGAGACAATAGAGAATGCAAAAATGCAATTGAATAAGCTTTTTGATCTTCCCATGGAGCTGAAGCTGAAGGGTGCAAAATCTACCACTGTGCCACTAGGCTAGTTTGCCACAAACCCTGAATATGAAAATAATCTGCTCTGGACAGAAGTCTTGCAGCTACGTCAGTCGTTAGAACAGGTAGTTTCTTAGCCAAAAGGGTGTTTATTGGTCAACATCATCCATTCAAGTAAGAATGCACACATATCAGACATCATTGCAGACATAGTAGTCATTTTATTACAAGTCATTAATTGTCCTGTACTAATTTAGTTTCTTGGAGTTTCAATGAGGCAACAAATAAGGACATGCACCAGTTAGATCGACTAGGGATGAGAATTTTTGAGATGTTGGCACATGGTTTAGGCCTTCCTGATGACTTCTTTACAAAGAATTTTGAAAAGAAAGAAGCTACAATATTTAGGGCTAACAGATGCCTTCCATGTCCCCTCCCTGAAAAATGTCTAGGACTGGGAAGCCATTCTGACCCTCATACCTTAACAATATTGTTACAAGATGATGGTGTTGGTGGTCTCCAGATTCTGAGGGATGACAATCAATGGGTTGGAATCCGTCCCGTCCCTAATTCATTCATTGTCAACATAGGCGACACTCTAGAGGTAAGCCTTTTACCTTCACCTCCAAGTTACAGAAGATTATCATTAGAATTAGCTTTGTAGTAATATTCTCTGATTGTTTTTATAGATGACTACCGGATGTAAACGAGTACTAATTTGTTTTGTAGGCATGGACTACTGGGCTATTGAACAGTGTGGTACACATAGCAGTGCTGAACAAAGGGAAGCAAAGGCAATCCGTAGCATATTTCCTCAGCCCAACAAGTACTGCCATTATAGACTCTCCTCCACAATTGGTTGATCCAATCCACAATGCTCCT